TGCTGTTCCCAAGATTTAGCCAAAGGTGTTTCTGTGCTGGGATGCTCTGGCTGAGATTCCGGCAAAGGTGAGCTCAGTGAGGTGACCAAAGGGTTAAAGCTTTTTCACGTCACAGTTCCAGGGCCTAATATGAGAGCTGCGTAAATGTAAGTACTGGAGGCTGGAGATAGCTTCCTAAAAATTGCTATTCACGTAGGCTCTGCAGGGTCTTGGGAAGTTTTGGCCGTAATCTTGACTGCTTCTTGCCCTCTCAGTATGCGAATAGAAAAATCCCGAACTGGCACAGGGTGAGCTGTCATCATGTTGCCCTCTGGGTGCAAAGCTGCTTATTTTGTCTTTGAACTGCAGACTGGCATGGAAAAATGGATCAAGGGATACGAGTCTGATGTGTGATGCAGTAAAGCATCAAGAAAATTCCGCTTTGCTATTTAAGCGGTGACTTGGAACTATTTTGTAAGATGATGTTTACAGACAAAACTCTATCTATAAGGCTGACTTTAAAAAGTGAATTTGATGCTTGCAGAAAGGATGACATTGACAACAGAAAGGACAAAGTTTTGTGTGTTTATATACGTCACGAACAACAGCAATAGATGATTCTTCATCCTGCCCATGACCGGGAGGCAACTCTTGGCTTAGGAAGGTAGCTGTTTCACCATGATAACCAATTCTCTGCCTTTCTGCCTCAAATTGCTAAGGTCACTTTTGAACGTTATATGTGTAAAATGGATGTGAAAAGGACTGTCCACCATTACAAAATTTATAAGCAGTTTCAAAGCGGAACCTAAATTTGGAATCCTTTAAAAGTTCTGCAGATTCAGTCCCTATGATCCTTGCTCTGCTGCAGCTGTTGAGTGCCACAGTGGCACATAAGGCCATCTGTAAATAGAAATTATGAAATAAGGTTAATACTTTGTACAGTCTTTTGGTAGCATCAGAGTTAAGTATCTTTTACTTTGACCATCTACTTTTGTCTTTTTTTTCTCTTTTAAATTCCTCATAGTGTTCAGCAGAGAAGCACAGACTTCTGTTTTTTTCCCATCAGATTTAGTTTTGGATTAACCGGCAGTGTGGTCTCACTGAGATAAACCGTGATTGTTTTCCCTTTGAATTCTGGTTTATATTAAGATTGGGTAGGAACTGGAAACATTTAGTTTGTACACACAAATGTCACATGGTTCCCATTTAAGGGTTGCATTGCAAATTTGAGTGCTTCATGATTGAAAGGGTATTGTTCGGGGAGTTCTCTTTAAAAGATCGTAGAGTTATTAATAGGAGTGGAGGCCAGTAAAATTGCATGATGACTTGATTCTTCCGACTTCCACAGATAATAGTATTTCCAGATCATGTGTCATAGTAGCAAATTTAACTGAACCCTTGTTTTCTGAAAGATCATGCTATAACTGAGGCAGATGTGAGGGAGCTGCAGTTCTGTAGCAGTCATTGGCTGCTGAGATATGAATTGGGAGAACTGTAACTTGCATGCAATTACATAAAATACTTCTGAGTATATGCTGTGTAAATACTGTGATCAAAGAACACTTAGGAACACCTAGGGGAAAACAAGCATGGTTATATACAGTTTTCCAGTATTGCTGTCTATCTTTGCTGTCCCTGGATTTTGGTAATACCTCCATATTTATCTGAACAGGTGGTCAGTCATTCTTCAGCCGAAAGGACTCCATCCGAACCATCTACACATCTCTGCATAATGAGCTGAAGAAGGTGGTGGCGACGGGTCGCAATGCACTAGGAGGAACAGCTCCTCACTTGGAAGAGCTGCTTTCTCACCTGTCTGAACAGCTCTGTTTTTTTGTTCAGGCTCGGATGGAAATTGCTGACTTCTATGAAAAAATGTACACGCTCAGCACCCAAAAGTTCATTAACTCTGAGGAACTGGTAAACATTTTGGAATCCATCTTAAAGAAATACAGCTCAAGGTCAGTGCTTATTTGCTGGCAGTAAGTACTCAGACATATGATCTGTAATAAATGATGTTGAGGTTCAAAGCAAGCCTAAAGACTTTGCTGTCCTTTGACTGCTGAGCAGCACGGCCCCTTGCATGAGTTCATGCATGAAGTGAATGTTGATCAGCAGCATCAGATCTGTGAAGTCTCAAGATATGTCTCCTCTGAAGAAGAAAAATAAAAAAAGGGAGAGTGTTTCTGCACATCGTATTCTAGGAGCCATCTTCCCTATTCCTTAATTAATATTCAGCATGTTCCTATTCAGCAGAGAGGAACAGTCATTTTCCTTGTAAAAGATGTAAGACTTCTTGCGCTTTGGGAGTAGAGAGGAAACAAGACTTAATTCCACATGGACTTAAGTAAAATTGATATATAAATAAAACAGAGGCTTATGTGACAATTTTACTTTTTAGACTAGAAGATACGTCTGCTTAATTCTGGAGCTACACTATAGCTAGCTGGTCTGCCTAGTAGGGTTTTATGGTGCTCTGTTATCACTTCTCTTGAGAGGTATTGGAGCCAGTGGAAGGAGCACCTCGGAGTCTTTGGTCCCTGCCACTATGGTTTCTTGAAGTTAAGATCTAATAGTTCCTGTAACAAGAATCCCAGGATGTTTCTAAATTACTCTAGGGTGGGTATTTCACCTCTGACACGTGTGAGCCTTGAAAGTGATGGCAGTTTAAAAAAGAGAATTTTTGAATGCTTGTCAACAGACTCAAATTCTAGCTCTTTATTTTAAAGCAAAACAAGGTAGCCATTGTAGGAAGTTAACTTTCAAAAGTAGTTGAATTTTTAAAAATCTCCATTAGTGAAATACTGTCTAAGAAGACATTTGAGGATAATGTTTTGAGGTCTTATTTTTTTTTCAGTCATGATTTTTAAAGTGTATATCTAGGAAAAATCAAAATAATTCAGTGCTGCTTTCTGATACTCCAAATTGAAGCACTGCAGCTGACTCCCTTAGTTTTTTTAGGAATAACTTTAAAAAATTGTTATGTAATTTTGCTATTTGAAAATCAAAACTAGTGTATTTGATCTTACTAGTGATTTTTTTTTTGCAATTCTTGGTTTTTGACCCTTACAGTATCAGGGCTGTTAGTCCAATAAAAAATGAAACTTACAAATTTTTTCTTGATGTAATAAACATTAAAGAGTAAAGGGAGGTAAGATATTTTGGAAAGTTGATTTATGCTGTACACTAACCATTGCCATCTGTTCTGAGCATGTGCTGAGTCAACAGCACTGTTAAAATTCTGAAAACCACAACGGATACTTTGACGAAGTGACTGGAGACTGTTACGTATGAAATGTTTTACTATGCTATTTAAATAAATCTCAGTGACACGTCTGTACTTCTAAGGCATTAATATAACTTCTTTAAAAAAAATAAGCAGTGACTCCCTGGGAAGAATACTGATGATCCTGCTTTGGGTGAATGAGCGATCTCTAAGATGGAGACATTCTAAGTTGCTGTTAGAGCTAATTCAGTAGCTGCTGTGTGGTTCTCCCCAGTCACGTACAGAACATTTCTGAAAAAAGTGCATATAATGATACCTTCCTTTAGTCCTTCCTTTAGTTTATTCGTATCTCAGATCAGTTTTTGGGAGCTGTTATGTTGATGTGTGCTAGCTGGAAGGCATTTCTGTTTTACAGTCTGTTGACTCTCTCAGGTGAGAGGTCAAACAAACTCATCCTTACCCAGTCCCTTCCCTCTGTCAATGTATTCCTCACTTGTAGTTGAGGATGTATGCCATTATTTCAGCCAACTGTGCTAGGGCCAGACAAGGCACCTGTTCTGTACATAGGTTCTGGCCTTGGTTTCTTTTCTTTACTTATAAAAATAGCTGTTCAGATAATGTAGAACAAATAACTGCTTGCTGGTAAGGGAATGACAGAATTAAGTGACTGTCAACAATCAAGTCCTGTTAACAGTATCTGAAAAATCATTAACTCTTGAACAGTTCAAAGCTATTTTGTTACTCCTTATTGCTGACTTGTACGCAGCCAGTACTAGACTTTTTCCTCTCTGTTTTGCTATAGAATATAACTGGATAAGTAATTTTTCCTGAATTTTTTAACTGTTGGTTTGGGTGGGATCTTAACTGAAATAATTAAACCAGCATCAGAAGCAGGATCCTTTAAAAGTTTAGTATAAAATGAATAAGTAACTAGTAAACCTATTTTGATTATTTTTAAGTGTTATGTGTTTTTCATCTAGTCAGCATTTTGTAAATACATGCATGCATGTGAGATCTATGGAAGGAAAAAAAAAGTTGTAGAAAAATGAGACTCTTTCATAGTCTGCAAAACAAAACTCTAGCATCCCTATGCTTTTGAGAATGATTAAGGAAAAAAAAATCAATTTTCCAATGTTTTTTTAAGTTCTTAGCACTGGCTTATTTAAATATTGTAAAAACCTCTCTGTTTTAAGTGATACTGAGCTTAGCCAGATGCTTCTGTGTTATGAAACTTAACTACAGCAGATACACTGAGTACATAACCTGTTAGTTTACTCTGCAACCATATCAAGCTTCTCAGCTGTGGCCAAGGTGTGTCTTTTTGGATTAAAACAGTTTAGCAAATCCTGCTGTGCAGTGAAACATGAAAATAGCTATGAGCCATCAAGTGAAGTGGGAAGCCGTACATCATAATGTTAATCCAGGAGAGTTGGCAGTGCTGCATTAGTATGGATTTTTTAATTGCTTTTAAGATTGAAGAATAACCTTCTTGGTCGGACTGCAAGTGTGTTGAAACCACTGTGCTACGTGCGCACTTGATGGGACTATCTGGAACAAATAATGTTGTATAATGCTTCCCCCACTCCCCCCCCCCCCCTTCTAAACCATACAAAACAAAAAACACTCTTTT